GCTACGTCAAGCAGCGCCCAAAGAGTGGTCATTTTCAGGGTCAGGGCGAAGGTCTGGAAGAAGTCCACCCCTTCGTGCTGACTGAAGCCTTTAGCAACGTAGCGCGCCTTAAACACAAGCGGCTCTTCAGGCAGGCACTTCACCTTGAAGAGCCACCGGCCATCTACTACGTTTACCCCAGGTGGGGGAACTGCGTCGACGTACGTGCCAGTGGATCTCCAAGGTATCATCTTTGCGTCCATGGCAGCTATCCACTGAGAGGCCCAGGGTCCCAAAGTCACCTCAGCGTAGGTGCCAGGGGTCGGGATGTCAAGAGCATTTGGATCACCCTCTGGGGCTAGCAGCATGGAGCAGAGATGAGCGCAGCCTTCGAAAGGAAAGCTAGCTCGTACTGCCTGTCCTCTAGAACGTCACTGCCAAGGGCAGGTGCACCCCTGATGGACGGAGGACGGGCAGGGTCGGAGACCAGAGCAGTTGTGTAGTCAAGGCGGCGGGTAGAGGCAACAGCGACGGTAGTGACAAGAGCCGAGAGACTCAAGACAAGAACGGATGGGTCGGTAACGAGAGATGCGAGGACACGAGGAACAAGAGGACAAGCAACACGGAGAAAGTCAGAGAGAGGAGGAGAGGAGACAGAGGGGGACGACTGCGGAGGCGACGGGAGAACAGGAGTGGGAGGAGCATGAGATGCTTGAGAACGAAGAACCATAGGGTGGACACTCGAAATAGGAGAGACGGGGCGAGCATGAGAGGGGCGATGAGACCACCAGCCGAAGGAAGGCATCACGTCAGGAGACACACGGGGAGAACGAGGGGGAAAATGAGCCAGGGACGAGTTCGGCGGGGGGAAAGACGAGGTCCTAGACAGAAGGAGGAGGCGACGCTAGGGGAGGGGCAGGCGGTCGGTCGGGAGAGGGAAAACCGAGGAGGCATCTGCACACACTGGATGCGGTTGCTGCTTTGGCAACTACTATTGCCGCTACTGTTGTTGCTCCGTGCCCACACCAGGACCTCCAAACGCACCACGGCTACCACCGGTACTCGCCGCGACAGCACCCCCAGGACCAGCATCTCCAAGACTAGCATCCCCAGATTTAGCACCCCCCTCAGAACTAGCACCCCTAGCGCCAACACCCCCAGAGCCCACTGACCCCTGTTACTGCAGCGGCTGCTGCTGCGGCGGCGGCGGCAGCGACGGTTGCTGCTGCAATGTCTGCTGCTGCGGCGGAGGAGGCACCAGGGCCAGGGGTGCCGACGCCATAGAAACAGGCGGCGCACCCAAATCTCCAGGACCCCCAAAGTCACCGAACTCCTCCACTGGGCCAACCGAAGGAAGGGGAGTGGCGTGAGATACACCAGACAAGCCAGACTCGTCAAAGTTGAAGTCACGCAAATGAAAGAAAATGGTGAGACGTTGTGTGGTAAAAGTGCCAGTCATAAGCATCTAGGGGGAAGCGAAGAAAGACACAAGGGACAGTGCGGGCACTGAGCTTGTCCGCACGAGAGTCGTTGACGTGAGCTAGGCAGCCCGAGACGTGAAACGCAGACACGTCACCAGGGGACCCGGTCCAGAGAATGGTCGGCAAAACCTGCGGGCGCGAGGTGCGGGGCCACATATTAAGCTGGTGAGTGGCGTAGCGAACTGCAAATGACCACAGAAAATGGGGTGCACCGGCATGGATCATGGACCAAACCGATGCATCGCTCAGGGACCCCATTCTACTGTGGGAAGGCCGGAAGTGTGTACGACTGAGTGATGCCCTCCGCACGACAAAATTGGCCAAGCCGATTGGAGGCGAACTCACCATCACGGTCGGAGTGGAGACGAAGCACTGGCTGGGCGTGGTGGACTCGAGCAGCTACAAGCCACGGGATAAGAACGTTGGCCTTCCGCTCCAAGGGAAACACCGTGGTGTAGCGCGAGTAGTCGTCGAAGAGAACCAGAAAGTAGCACTCGCAGCGCGGCCCGGGGACCGGGGCTGGGCCCCAAACATCCAGGTGCAGGGTCTAGAGTGACGCAATGGTGGGGGGAAACGAGGAGGAGTGAGGAGCACGGCGCAGCCGGCCTTCGATGCAAGGCGTGCACGGAGGCGCGGGTGAGGGAGAGTAGGGAGGGATGCAAGGAGACCTAAGACAAGATCGTGTTGGGACATGTGACGTAGACGCGGGAGTGCGAGTGACCTAGGCGGTGGTGCCATAGCAGCGACGAGTGGGTGAGTGACTGACACGAGCAAGCCACAGCATCCCGCATAGACGCAGCCACCTGGGGGGACGCATCCACCTTGGGGGACGCGGTGTGCAGCGTGAACAGGCTCGACACCGGGTCCCGAGGAAACGTGATGAGGGGTGCACCAGTGGCGGCCTAAGTACAGACTGCATACCGCTCGTGTCCAAAAAATGTGGTGGTGACGCCAAGGTCCTTAAGACAGCCGACACCAACCAGGTTCCTGGAGAAAGAGGGGGCAGACCTGTAAGAGGGCTTGAGGGAACTGCCGGACAGGGAAGTGTGGTGGAGCTACGTGTGACGACCGGATCGGAGGAGGGGTCTGCAAGGGAGACTACTGCTGGTACTGAAAGCGGTGTGAGAGTGGTGTGGTCACGAAAGAAGCAGGCGGACGCACAAGATTCCAGCGTGAAGGAGAGCGCGGCGGTAGCATCAGCCGGCGGGGGCACCGGCGTGGAACCAAGACTACACAAGACAGAAGGTCCTACACCTGACGCAGCAGGGGAGCCTAGACTACACACAGTAGAAGCTCCTAGTCTAGGCACAGCAGAAAATAGGATCCAGCAACACTAGAGTTATCAGCATGCAGTACATAGCATAAATAGCAGATCCTATCTGATCCATATCCATCTCAAATACCGGCACTCAGTGACATACCAGGCTGGGTCAGTCCGGGAGGGACGGCGTATGCCCGAAGCAAAGACGGAAGAGGTCATCAAGGCAACGGTAACAGCGGGCGGCAGTGTGACCGGGTGGGCGCAGACGGTGCCACGAAGGGGACCAGACTGGATCTGGTACTGGCAACTCACCGAACTGGAGCCACCACCCAAGGTCGAGCTACGAGGGCCGCCTCCGCTGCCACCACCACCAAAGGCGCCTGGCCCCCCACGGCTGCTGCTGCTGCTGCCGCAGCTGCTGCTGCTATGCTGGGGCGTCAGCCTTCGCCCCCTCGTCCACACCCCCAGCACTCCCACCATCCGCACCACTCCCGCCACCCCCACCACCCCCACCACCCTTTCCTCCTCCACGCCCCCCTTGGGGCACGAGCGCCCCTACGCTGACGCGGCTGCGCTGAGGCCGCCTGTCTTAGCGGCAGCGGTGAAAACGTCAAAGTAAGTGCGCTAGGAGGGAGCACAACCCTGGAAGAAAGGTACCGCTAGACTGAGCGACAATGTGCTGGCGGGTCTCTATCGCTGACAGGGTGGCGACAAAGTCAGTAAGGGTGAGGTCAGCGGGGTGGAGACTAAGGAAGGTCTCGCGGGCAATGGCTAGGCGGTCAGGGCGGCACGTGGCTAGGACATAATGGGGGGGAGGGAGTACAGTGAGCTGAGCCTCAATGCTAGCAGCACGGTAGCTAGACTCGAGAGCGCGCCGGTGAGTGGCCAGATCAGCAACAATGAGGAAGGAAGCTAAGTCAGGGAAGAGCAAGGGCAGGAGGAGACGGCCAGCAGCGGCGGAGGAGGGAGTGGAGTAGCGGGCGATAACAGCGTCTAGGTACTCCTTTGCCATCTCTAGGTCCTGAAAGCGGGGACAATCGGACAGCAGGAGGGCGTGACTAATAGCTAGCTGCGCAATAGCATCGCGCGACTCCCAGACAGAGCGAGCGAGCTCAAAAGCTGTGAAAACCTCACACTCAGCAGGTGCGGCGGCGTCAGCAAAAGCAGCAGGCGCGGGGGGGCAGGGCAGCTTACCGTCGACATGGACGGCCAGAGACTGGCCATCCTGATGCTGGCCCTTCAGCTGGCGGCGCAGGTCGGCGAGACATGCCTCGAAATCCACCGCACGACCCTCTGCATCCAGGCGGAGAATGGCGTCCGCCATCACGCAAAACTTCAGCAGTTGTAGAACGCAGGATGAGGAGGAGCAGGGAGCAGGTAGGTGTGGTGGAGTGCGGTCAAGAGCGGTGGAGGCAGTGGAGTGCGTTGGAGTGCGGTGAAGTGCAGTGGAGTGCGGTGAAGTGCAGTGGTGTGCGGTGGGGAGAGGTGAAGACGCGGGAGCGCAGATGGCCGGCGAGGGCGCCGGCGCAGAGGAGAGACCAGGGCCGGCGGCAAGCTGGGGCCGGTAGTGAGCAAGGGCCGGCGACGAGCAGGGGCTGGAGCGGCTAGCAGGGGTCGGCACAACTAGCAGGGACCGGCGCAAGCTGGGGCCGGTGCGGCGAGCTGGGGCCGACGCGGCGAGCTGGGCCTGGCGCGGCTAGCTGGAGCCGGCGCGGCGAGCTGAGGCCGGCACAGCGAGCTGGGGCCGACGCTGCGAGCTAGGGCAGCGCGGCGAGCTGAGGCCGACGCGGCGAGCTGGGGCCGACGCTGCGAGCTAGGGCAGCGCGGCGAGCTGGGGCCGACGCGGCGAGCTGGGGCCGGCGGCGAGCTGGAGCCGACGCGGCAAGCTGGGGCGGCGCGGCGAGCTGGGGACGACGCAGCGAGCTGGGGCCGACACAGCGAGCAGGGGTCCGCGACAAGCTAGAGGCCGACGCGGCGAGCAGAGGCCAGCGCGGCGAGGTAGGGGCAGTGCAGCGCTGCGGGCTGGGGCAGGCGCGGCGAGACAGGGCCAACGCGGCGAGCTAGGGCCAGCGCGGTGGGCTAGGGCCCGTGCAGCGGGTAGGGGCAGGCGCGGCAAGCTAGGGCCGGCGCTGCGAGCGCGGGTGAGCGCGGCGCGCTAGGGAGGGCGCCAAGGGCGAGGCGCTCTAAGGTAGTCTAGGGCGGAAGCGTGGGTGGGTGGGATACCTAGCGTGAAACCATGTCAAAGTAGCCAAGTAAATCTACCCAAGGCATACAGGGTGATATAAGGGTTTGGTGTTGTACTCTCTCAGAGCATGAACCTATCTAGCCTATAACTATGCATGCACAGCAAATGTTTATTGACACACAACTCAACCTATGACAACAAAAACTAATCGGAGCCTGACTAAGGTATTCTCTATCATGAGGTCCAGAGCAACGCCATGATGAGAAGGGCATATAGCCTTGACAACTACTACTCATGCCAAAACTATATCCAGATTACCTGCAATTTTCCATGTACTTTGCATGGGTGGGTCCTTGAGTAATCTGGAAAACTACTCCTGCACTTGCCAACCCCCCCCCCCCCCCTCTCTTCCCTCTCCAGCAATTGCCATCTACTGGTGTCATCAGTTGGTTGCCGCAGCAGTGGCAGTGGCAGGAGCTGTAGCTGGGGCTGCAGCCACGACAGGAGGGGGATTGCGGAACACAGCTGACATGGGGAAGGTGCTCAGCTCAGTAGACGCCGCAGGGGCCTTCATCCAAGAAGGCCGCCGCTTGCTGCTGCTGCCACCCCTGCTGGCGCCACCGCCTGCTGCTGCTGTTGCTGCTGCACCTGTGACGTCTGCCTTGGCAGCCAGTTCTGGGCCGCCGTTCACAGCTGCACGAGCGCCCTCCCTTTCCCCTCGCGCACCTCCATCTTCTGCCAACCCCTTTCCGGTCCCTTTCCCCCCACTGCCACTCTCCCTCCCCTGCTGCCGCTGCTGCTCCTGCTGCTGTGGCCCGTGATCCCTCCTCCCGTGCCCGTGCCCGTGCCCGTGCCCCCCCTTAGGGGTGACATGCAGCAGCGGCCGCTGCCCAGCAAAGGAGGAGAAGGTGCTGAACTGCACGATTTCCGAGTCAGGGCTAGGCACGTGCATCTGCGGCACCATGCCTCGCATTCCCCTCGCTCCTCCCTCCCGCCTTCTGCCACTGCCCCCGCTGCTGCCGCCTGTCCTTCCTGTGCCCGTCTCCCTGCCTCCATCCTCGTCCTTCACTCCCTTATCAAACCGCACTTTACGCGCCCCTTGCTCCTCCTGCTCCTGCTGCTGCCGTTTCTCCTTCTCGTCCTGCCCTGCCTCCGGTTCTTTCTTCTTCCCACTCTCCTGCGCCCGTCTCTCTGCCTCCGTCCCACCTGCTGCCGCTGCTGCTATTGGTGTTGCCGCAGCAGCAGCAGCGGCTCTAGCACCAGGAGGAGGTGGCAAGGTGTTAATGTTGAGGGAGGAAGGGAAGAGCGATGAAGGGTCGTCGTGGAATGAGGGGGATAGAGCCAGGTCAGAACCACCATGGGCAGCAGCAGCAGCAGCAGCGGCCGCCGGAGGAGGTTTAGGTTTCAGCCCGAGTGCTTCCTCCAGGTCAATCTCCGCAGCAGACGGGTGGGAGAAGGAGAACGACGAGAACGACTGCTCGAGCGCAGCAGCAGCAGCAGCGGGAGGGTGTTCGGGCGCAAAGGGGTTGTTGCTGGACAGGCGAAACGACTCCTCTCCTCCTGCTGCTGCTGCTGCAGGTGCTGCTCCCACTGGTAAGAGCGCCAAGGCGTCGGTGCCGGTGCCGAATGTGCTTATAGCGGGGTTGGTGGCGGTCGCGAGGGCTTTGGAGGCGGAATCGACCTGGCGCAGAAGGTGCTGAATGCGGTCCACCTGAAGGGGAAGGAACGGGGAGGGACGCGGGGAAGGGCGCGGGGGAGGGCGCGGGGAAGGCGCGGGGAAAGGAGAATTGTGGGGGGGGGAAGGGAGGGGAGGGGCGCAGGAAGGGGCGAGGTGAGGGCGAGGGGAGGTGGGAGGCTATGAGAGAAGCAACGGATTGGTCGACCTGGTGCAGGAGGTGCTGGTGGAGGTCCACCTGAGACGGGCACAAGGGGGAGGGGCGCGAGGAGGAGGAGGGAAGAGGGAGGAGGAGGAGGAGGAGGAGGAAGGAGGAGGAGGAGGAGGAGGAGGAGGAGGAGGAGGAGGAGGAGGAGGAGGAGGAGGAGGAGGAGGAGGAGGAGGAGGAGCCGGCCTCGCGTACCCCCGCTTCTCGTTCTCCTTGCAAGCCCAGCTTTGCTCCGTGCGTCGCTCTGCTTGAGTGCCTCTAGAGTCGCCTCTACGCCTTGCCTGCCCCTTGCGTTGCGCCTTACCTGGGATTCGAGCTCCGCCGTGCGCCGCGCCATACTGTGCCTTACCCGCCCCAGGAATTACCTGCGCCTTGCGCTGCGCCGAAAGCCACGGCGGCAGGTCGGTGAGCGCGTCGAGCCGCAGCAGCAGCCGCATCAGCGCCTCGCTCGCCGCAATGCACGCCGTACCGTCCGCTGGCCTTGCGCCGCCTCGCAGCGCCTCCACCTGCCGGATGCGCGGACGCGCGGCGTGGGCGGAGAGCATGAGGGGGACGCACCGGAGAGAAGACAAGACATGAGTGCGACACGGACGGCGGGTGAGGGAGGGGGAGAGGGTGGGGGATGGAGGGAAAACCGTAAATTCGACGAATCCCAAGGTGCAGAGGGCTAGGCGGAAGGATCGACGGACACAGCGAGCGCAGAGGGGCAGACGGTAAGTGCTGCATGAGAGACGGCGCACAAGAATTTCGAAAGGCCGCGAGCGACAGCAGAGAGGGGTGAACCTAACGAGAGATGGGGCGTGCACGGAAGGCATCCGCCACAACCCTTTCCGGGACTCCACGGTGCCTGAGAGACGGCGCGAAAGGTGCCACCTTAAAAGGCAGTGGCTAAAGCCATTCACCTTAATCACGCCTGCTTTTGATCTTAGCAGGATTCCTCCAAGGGTGATTTCGATCTGCACTAAGCCTGTCGGCCAGGTGATGGTTGAAACCACATCCGCTTTCGATCCGCATCCGCCACTCTTTGAGAGGCTCCGCTTTGCCTGCGTTAAGGCCGTTCACCTTAACCAACCATGCGCTAACGCTTCGTCCTCGCTAGTCCCAGCCAGTACTCTTGCGTAGACCCGCGGCTTGAGGCGCCTCGTACGCTCACCGGATGAAGCGCTTCAAGCCGTGAGCTTTCGAGGCGCCTCATGTACGCGTGCTAACCAGCGATAGCCGTCCTTTTGAGGTTCACCTGCGCGGCTGCAGCGTCGACTTCGGCAGTGAGCGACACGAGGGACGCCTGCAGCTTCCGCACTCGCTCGCCGTCCTCCTGCGCCGCCAGTCGCCACGCCGTGTCGGCCATATCGGAGATCAAGTCGGAGATTAATCTAATTCTGACGCAAGGCGGTGATTCAGTAGAGCAGTAATTGTGAGAGTACTAGGTTGACCTAACGCTACAGATGAAAGATTTCCGCCGAAAGTACGCCCACGGAGAGCGACTGATTCCTCCGCTCGACACGAGGCCGCCGTTTGTTGGCCCCTCCTGTGTCGTCTTGCCAAGCAAGATCTCAAGGCACAACCCGCAGCTAAGATGTCGAAAGTCCGCAGAGCGAGCAGAGCTGTTCAAAGGGCTAGGCTGGGAGGAGGGATGGAATGGGGGAGAAGGTAGTTCCGCAGTGATGCGATGTTTGATGTGGGAAGGTAGGTTGTGTGCCTGCCTGTGTGTCTGGAAGAGGGAATGACGCGCTTCATAAATTTCGCATTTTCCCTTCCCATTGTCACAGGCCGTTATCTGAACCCCGACGAGCGCGTTTTCGACACCCGCTGTCAGTTGTTTTGTGAAGGATACGGTTTTCACGTCGGTTGTACCATGTACTTCTGAATTTTGGCTTGCCCGATGTTTTCGAATGCAGCAGTTGCGTTTTGGCCGCAGGTGCGCAGCACTCGCGTGCTGTATGTTTTAGCCGCATCTCAGCACTATTAAACGAAACCGCCAATAACAACACAATCCGGGCAGTTTTGGCAAGATGAAAACTAAAACCCGTAGGGGCCCTGCATGCAATTCGGTGGTATATAACCTAAATTCGCGACCCTATCGCGATTTTGGGGTTGATGCCATCCCGAATGGCAAGCCGGGCCCCTACGGGTTTAATTTAGTTACCCTCTGCCCGAAATTACTGTCAATTATATAAACCACGTTTTGCGGCAATCAAACGTGCGCGGATTTGGCACGCAACAAAAGAAACATCAAGATTTGGCATCCCAATAACGTTTGACTCTTTGAAAAGGAAAAGAAAATCAGCTGGCGACACGTCAAAAGAAACATCAAAATTTGGCATCCCAATAACGTATATCCTGACCCAGATGTGCTATAAAACCCCGTAAAACAATACTGGAGGAAAACTGACAGAGGGAATCGGAATGACGCTCGGAGGATCTCAGGTAACTGCCTGTGACGGCGGGAACTGAAGACGCGAATTTACGGAAGTGCGTCATTCCCTCGTGTCTGGAATGTGGTCTGGATGTGTGTGTGACGCCGACTCGGCGGCTGAAAGCCAGACGGGAATTGATTTTGTGACGAAATTTTCTGGTCAACACAACTGCCTTCCAGCGCGAAATTTTCACAAGGCCGCCGCGGAATGGAATTTGTGTGGTTGGCTGGCTTGGTGGTGGTGGCTTGTACAACCGCGAAACTTTATGCACATGTGCGGCGCGAGAAGAAGTTCCACAGTGTGCGGCGCGCACAAGCGGGAAAAAGGGGGGAAGTGCCTAAATTTTCGTGTTCCCGCGCTATAGGACTTTCAGTTGACAACAGCTGTAAGGAAATGGTGTTTCCTTATAACGGGTTTTTGTTAGTAAGGCGTGCACTGCTATGACGGGGTTGCCGCGCAGCTCTGCCTCGAAATTCAAATCGTGGTACCCAAATGTGGCCTCCTGACGAGCCGCATGCATTTTGCCTACCTTGCTGTTTCATGCATATATTTGGGCCCTTCGCACCAATTTACGAACCACATGTCGCAGCTCTGCCGAGCCACGATCGTGTGCTCTAGGCTGGGAATATCCATACTCCCTGTTGTTTTTGTCTTGCCTCAGTTGTATTGTTTCATCGTTACTCAGTTATTTGACACACGCTCTTTGCGCTTGATTCAACCTGCCCATCAGAGCCAACGATCCTCATCCTTGCGCTCTAGTTCCGCTACAATACCGATACTTAGGGAGGCTAACGCCCTGTGCTTACAACATATCCGCTGTCTTGGTAACATTAATCGATAATTACGTACAGCCACAAATGTGTTCGTAGTGTCAAACACCTATTGTATGTTTCTATAGACTATATAGGATTGTATGCCTTGTTGTAGACATTCTTTCCCTTGAACAATGGTATCATGAGAATGTAGGTCTCCCCCCCCCCCCCCCCCCCCAAGCGCTTCCGCACTAGGTCCTAGCCGCCTCGTCGCCCTGCGGCCCCGCCCCTAGCAGCACCGCGGCCCCATCACCTCGCGGCCACGCGGCCCCGTAACCTAGCGGTCCCGTGGCCCCGTCCCCTAGCGGCCCCGTGGCCCCGTTCTATAGCGACCCCGCGGACCCGTCACCTAGCGGCCCCGCGACCCCGTCACCTAGCGGCCCCGCGACCCCGTCACCTAGCGGCCCCGCGGCCCCGTCACCTAGCCGCCCCGCGGCCCCGTCCCCTAGCGGCCCCACGGCCCCGTCACCTAGCGGCCCCGCGGCCCTGTCCCCCGGAGGCCCCGCGGCCCCGCAACCCCGTCCCCCAGCGGCCCCGCAGCCCCGTAACCTAGCGACCCCGCGGCCCCGTCACCTAGCGGTCCCGCGGCCCCGTTACCTCGCGGCCCCGCGGCCCCGTCACCTAGCGGCCCCGTCACCTAGCGGCCCCGCGGCCCCGTCCCATAGCGGCCCCGCGGCCCGGTCACCTTGCGGGCCCGCGGCCCCGTCACCTAGCGCCCCCGCGGCCCCGTCCCCTAGAGGCCGTTCGGCCCCGTCACCTTGAGGCCACGCGGCCCCGTCACCTTGCGGCCACGCGGCCCCGTCACCTAGCGGCCCCGCGGCCCCATCACCTCGCGTCCCCCCCTCCTAGCCGCCCCCGCCCCCCCCCCTTCCCAGCCGGACCCGCCTCCTAGCCGGCCTCGTTGCCCAACCGGCCCCGTCTCCCTGCCAGCCCCGTCGCCTTGCCACCCGCGCCCCCGTCTTCTAGAAACCTTGTCGCCGTCCTCGGCCCCTCTGCACCGCGCTGCACCGCCCGGCACCGCTCTGCACTGCACTGCGCCGCACGGCACCGCACTGCACCGCTTTGCACTGCACTGCACCACCCTGCACCGCACTACAATGCACCCTACCGTACTGCACCTCCCTCCACCGCACAGTACCGCACTGCACATCACCGCTTTCAGCCGCGCTCTTCTGCCCAAAACTGTCTTTCTCCTGTTGCTGCAACCATGATGGCAGACTTGGTCCTGCGTTTTTATGCTGAGGGGCAGCCGATTGAGTTCGACTCGTGGCTCGTCGACCTCCAGCGACACATGACTGGTCAGCGGCAGCACAGCCACTCCCTAGCCGTCCACATCGACGATACGCTCCCCTGCACGGACCACCCTGCTGCCCTCCCCGCTGACCCCACGTCAGCTGACCGTGAGTCCGCTGCAGCTGCTGCCCTTGCTTGTGCTGTCTGATTGTCGCGTGACGCTGTCGCACAGCTTGCGATTAGACATGCCCTTCCCCTGTTCGAGCGCCCCCGCTTTAGGTCCGTCAGGACTGCGCAGGAGTTCCTAGAGGCCATTCCACCCCGCCTTATGCTTCTATAGGTCGCTTGATCCTGCCCCTGCTCTTTCCTGACCTTGCGTATTTCCCCACTGTCGTTGACCTAGCCGCCCATCTGCGCACGCTAGACACGACATGGCGCGCTGCCTGCACTGAGGCCGAGCTTCGTGTATTTCAGCCCCCCATCTGCTCTACCCTTTACCTGCTTGCCACCCACCTCCCTGACCGCCTTGCCACCGCCCGCGATCACTTCCTTAGTCTCCACCCTGCTGACCTCACCCTCATTGACTTTGTCAACACCCTGTCTGCCATAGAGACTCGTCAACGCTCTATAACCCAGTCTAGCGGTACCGTGCCGGTCTCTATCTTTCAGGGTTGTGCCCTCGCTCAGTGCACTTATTCTGACGGTTCAACTGCTGTTGCTGAGACAGCTCCTGTTGCGGAGACAGCAGCCACAGTGCAGTTTCGTCCGGGTGAGGGTCGCTGCCCCAAGGCTGGGCACGGCGGAGTTAGCGGAGGAGTGGGTGGTGGCGGTGGTGGAGGTGGCTCGCCCGCTGGTAGTACTGACAAGGGGGCTGGGGCTGGTGCCTCGGAGCAGCAGCCCCAGCAACAGCAGCAGCAGCAGGCATCGCTGCTGAACTAGCAGTAGCCGCAGCAGCAACAGTAGCAGCAGCAGCGGCGGGTCGGCCGTCTCCCGCCTGGGTGGCCGGGCGCCGGCAGTGGCGGTGGTCGCAGTGGTCGTGTGCGCGGCGTGACGTCGGGTGGTGGTCAGAGTGACGGGCGCTGCCAGTACCAGCTCGAGAACGGTCCTCGCCGCAGACTTGTGTGCAATAAGATCGGCCAATACCCCACTCGTTGTTTCAGTCGCCTAGACGACCTGTTTCGTCTCCGCTTTGGCTCGTCGCCAGACCTCCCCGAATGGCACAGTCTGCTCCGCCATGGTGTTAGGATCTTTGATATGGACATGGATGAGATTAGCTCTGATTTGTATGTGCTGTATGTGGATAACTCTAGTGTGACTGGTTCCTATTACCTTGTATTGCCTAGTGTAGTCGTGCCCAGTGTGCCTAGTTCAGCGTCAAGCGTAGGATCCCTTGCCTTGTTTAGCCTTAGGTCCTCCCTCACTCCTTCGACCCCTGTCGCCACTGCCGCACTCTCCTTCACCTTGGACTCCGGCGCTTCCCGGTGTTTCTTTTAGGACTCCACTACGCTTACGCCGCTTGCCGCTCCCGCCGCAGTTGCTCTTACAGACCCTTCCTCCGGCCCTGTAGTCGCCCGTAGCTCCTCCACCCTTCCCTGTCCGGCGGTTCCCTCGGGCTCCCTTACAGGCCTGCACATCCCCTCGTTCTCTAGGAACCTAGTTGGTGTCGGCTGCCTCCAGGACCTTGGTGTCACCACTACGTTCCCTGGGCACGAGCGGTACGCTGTCTGTACCGAGGCCGCCACTGGTGCCCCCCTCACCACGTTTCCCTGGGACCAGGTGTCTAGCCTGTTCACGCTGGACACCGCTTCCCCCCCGGTTGGGACGCCTCCCCAGAAGGCAGCGTCTACCCAGGATGCTACGGCTTGCTCGTGTCGGTCGCTTACTCACCCGTCGGTTCTGTGGCACCACCGTCTAGGTCACCCCGCTCTTAGTCGTCTCCGTCACATATCCCAGCACGGTCTTGTCTTAGGTCTCCCTGAGTCGTTCCCTGCGCTCCCCTCCTCCCTAGCGCCGCCGTGCACGCCCTGTGTCGAGGGCCGGCTCCACCGTGCCCCTCACTCCTACTCGTTCCCCCCTACAGCCGCACCGCTGCAGACCTTGCACATGGACGTCTAGGGCCCCGCCCCCATCCATGGGCCGTGTCGCGAGCGCTACTTCCTAGTGCTTGTCGATGACTACACGCGCTACACCATGGTGTTTTCCCTGGAGCGGAAGGCCGACGTACGTGACGTTCT